GGGCTGTCCTGGGAACTGACCCCCAAGATCTCCCCTCGACCATGGCCTCCATTAATCCCCTTTTGAAAGAACCCGATAGCTCTCCTGGTAAGTTAACCCTAAGAAATCACCGAGATCTCCCATTGACCCTCTTCAAAACACCCAATTCACGTTCAAACGCTTTTCCTCACTTCGTCAACAAAATAACCCTTCAATCAATGAATTATGACAAATTCCAACATCAATGTTTCAATTTCTTCCCAACCCTACTTGTCGCTCACTTCAATCACCTATTTGGAGCCAACTTCTGATAATAGCCGTTTTCGTAAATGAAGTCTCCGGCCTTAGTTATGACCATACAAATGATACGGAGAAAAAGAATAATGATTTGGTGAATAAATGGTTTCGAAAGAAATATATTTCTGAAGCAACAGGGAAGAGACTAAAGTGCACTAATGCCATATCATCGAGAATGTCCCTTCCAAAAGTACACAAGCAGGGAATACCTTTTAGACCGATAGTTTCATCGATCGGTGGCCCTACATATGCGTTATCAGAATTTCTGCACAGGATAATTAACGCGGGTAGTTCAGATTTCTTCTCTTCGGTGAAAGACAGTTTCTCTTTCACTGAGTTTATTAATGAGGTGGAACTTCCAAGGGATTCTATATTGGTTTCTCTGGATGTTTCATCCCTTTTCACTAACGTCCCTCACGAGCTAATCAAAAGGGCTCTGAGGAGGTGAAAGAAATCGATGAATTTGAAGAAAATGTCGGTTGACGAGTTGATTGAAGCGGTTGACTTGGTAATGGACACGACCACTTTCTCTTTCAACAACAACTATTACAAGCAGATCTATGGTTTGCCCATGGGGTCTCCCCTTGCTCCGCCACTTGCAGATATTGTTATACAGGATCTGGCGTATACGTTTATGCAAGAGCTGGATTTTTTCGTCCTGTTTTACAAAAGATACGTGGATGATATCATCACAGCAGTACCTAAAGGGCAAGTGGATGAGCTAATTGACATTTTCAACAGACAACATGAACGACTAAATTTCACATTTGAGGTGGAAATAGATGGAAAGATTCCATTCCTTGATTTATTATTGATTCGCCAAAATGACAAGATTATCACCGATTGGTACCAGAAACCTACATGGACTGGCCGATATCTGAATTATTTTTCACATCACCCAATAACCGAAAAACGAGGAACAGTGTTTATGTTGGTGGACCGAGCGTTCAAACTCGGGCGCAAGCAAATTTTGAACCATAATTTGGGCTTGATTATTTCTACGTTGGTGAGGAATGACTATCCGAGGACTTTCATTAAGCACTGGATAAATGTCAGATGCGAGGTGATGCGAATAAGAATTTGGATGAATCTGTGGTCATAGTGAAAGAGGTGAAAAAGTGAAATAAGTCAATGGTTCTTCCGTCTGCTGAGGGCTTATTCCAAGGGCTCAGCAGAGTTGTCAAAAAGTTTGGATTGTCGTTGGTGTCCACCAATAAGCAGAAGTTGGGAAACCTAATTAGATCAACCAAGGACCCATTGGTCACACTGGACAAGCCGAACTATGTTTATTCGATTCCGTCTGAGGACTGCGACAAGATCTATGTGGGACAAATCAAACGAGTGTTGAAAAAAAGGATCTATGAACATCGACAAAACCTGAAGAAACCGCCGGAACAACACACGGCGTTGTCCGTGCATGGCGTTTGATAAGGATCATAGGTTTAATTTCTAGGCAACGCGAGTAATTACGCACGTGGTTTGGCCAATCGGCCAATAGGAATATTGGTATAGGAGAAATGTTTTGGAAATGTACCATATCACGAAAAATGAGAATTGTGTTAATTTTAGAACAGATGTCAATGACCTCAGCAATATTTATGAAAATGTAATTCGTTGAGTCAGCGGGTTTTTTAATTAGTTTTCAGCTTGTGGGCAGCCAACAGTTTGTTCATTTGTTGGACAGGGACAGGGGATTTTGAATACGTTTTTGTTTATGAAGCGCGGGGGCTTTGTCGTATTACGACGGCATTGACTAGGTTCCGGTCGTAGCAGGGTTGTGTTCTTGAGTGACACGGCACTGATTTCTATAATTCCACGGGTGTTTACCCTATTTTTTAGTTTCTGATGGGTTTTTATCCTTTTTAGTTCCAATTTTCTCACTTTGAATTAGTTTTTTGTGATGGTTGCAACTGTTGGAGGCATACAGGGTGTTTTGGATTGGATATATTCCTTGGATGTGTTTTAGTGTTCGATATTTATATCATCATGTTCTACTTCTGTGCATAACCTTAAAATCTGCTGCATCAAAACGATAGGTAATTCAGGTTTTTTATTGGTTGAATTGGTGCTTGACAATTTAATGTAAAATTTGGGTTTTTATTCTTGTTTTTTCTGTTTTTTTCACAGATCAATAAAAGTTGAGCGATTTCGTCCTGATGAGGGTTTCCGATTTGGAACCGAAACGTTGACAAGAATCAGTAAACAATGAGTTGATTCTTTCTTTTATGACCGCAAGGCCGAAATATACCTTTACGATTATCATTCTACGGTCGATAACTTCAGTTATTAATTTATCCATTATGTTTTTAATAATGAAAAATGATGAACTTACTTACCTTGTGTAGTGTTAATAAGATGACTCACTCGAAATTGCCAAGTAATTACAGTATTTATAATTAAAAGTGATGCTAATAAACATCCTAATATAGCTAGTGGCCATGCTCGTATCCTTAGGCCGCCCGTTGAGCTCGTTGAAAGCGTCTTTAGATTCGGATATATATCTTTCCATAATCTTTTGTCGTCCCTTCGTTGTACTACCTAGAAACAATTCCGATCCATTGCATAGAATCATTTTTTTTATTGAGCAAATTCCTAATAAAAGAAGGGGATAATGGAATTTTTGAAAAATTAGTATACTTTTATTGCCAATATATCAGCAGTTCGCTTTCGAATGGATTCCCTTTTTTGGAGTTCGTATTTCGCTATTTTCTTCTCATATTTTTTTTGTCATATTACTATCATCAATCGAAATGTCTTCGAAATTCTAGCGTATTATTTCAATCTTTCAAATAATTCTGTATTGACATCCATTTTTTAAATCATAAATGTTCAATCACGTTTCGGCCAATGTGTAGCCACGATTTAAATGGGTTTTAACCCAGACTTAGCCAGAGTTTAACCTAGGTGCAGTCAGGAGTTGGTCGGAACCATAAATCAACATGAATAAGTACCAAACATAGTAGAATCATACCCGTGTTGAAGGGGGGGAGGGGGTGAGTCACATCACTGTTTCAAGTAATGAGGTATTTGATTGAAAAATTTGACGGTTTTTTCAAAATTTGTTGTTTACAAAAAAAAGTGTACATTGAGAATAAAACTGATTATTGGCAAAAACGCTTTTACCTGAGAGAGGTATCCAGATACGCGGTAACGTATCGGCCAGAGAAAGTTTTGACTCCGACTGTACAAAACATCAGGCCGAGCGCACCGCGAATCTATACACGACAGAATTTCCTCCTCCACTACCTTCAAATGATTGTCATTCTGTATAATAAAAACAGGATGACAAATCGGAGAAGTGTCCTTAGTTACATTATATAAAATGCCTATGGACTTTTCAACGCAACAACTATTGTATTTTTTGGATTAGCAAACAATAAAAAAGATACCCGCATAGCAACAGGCTGATATTTACATTCTCGAGATTCACATTATAGTGTATCAGAATCAAGTTCCAACGTTGTATGCGCCGGTCCAACTGAGGCTCACCTCTAACGTCAAAGTGTTGCAACCGGTGCATTTAAACGTGGATGGTGATGTTATTCTGGAGAACCACGGGAAACGTGTTTTTCTCACTTTAAAGTACATATTAGAGTAAAATAAAAAATTAATTCAGTGTTTTATTTTTTTCCTTTCATCGAAAATTCGAATTTATTCTCATCATATCTATATCCGGACATCGAAGATGAAGATCGTTTGTGAGGTTATGATGTATGTTTCGAATCGGACAGCCCTGCTATTTATGAGAAATTGTGTGATAAACAATTAAGTGTACGTGGATAGTTAAAATTTAAAACAAAATACTCACTTTTCTTCGGGTGATAACAGAAAATGTTTTTAGTTTCGTGGGGACAATGGTCAGAATTAGGTTACGGTGAGATGCGAGGAACAAGAAAACAATTGTAATTATTTTTAAATAATTACTAATATCTTCAAATTAAAAAAAATGATTTTATAAAAATATCCAGTAAACATTTTTTTCGGTGGTTTATGGAAGGAAATCAGGTAATCTCACCAAAAAATACAAGCTCCCCATAGAAAATGAAAAAAAAATTGAATTGGAAAAACATACTAAACTCCTGAAAGTCTGAAAATTTTGAATAAATGATCGGCAGTCAGTAGAAACAATGGATCTAGAGTAGAATTGTTCATTTCCCTTCAGTTATCAATCAAATAAGGGTTCTATTTTGTGACGGAACAAATTGCTTGAAATGATAATAACAAATTTCTCATGATATGAACACAATGCTGTGCTTATTTTTAAAAAATGAGTGAAAACTCCCTGAAAAACAAAAGCAAATGTTTTTGTAAAACAACTGCGCTGTTCGATGCCGAATCTAATTTATTAAATTAAATTAATCAAGAATTGAAAACAAAATCCTTCGTAAAATAAACAAGTGGGAAATTGCCGATGTATAGTATATAGTATAGCTTTTTATGTTAATAAATTATCAATATGCGTCCGAATGGTCATGTTGCATTTTTTTTCTTCCGTATATGATTTCTTTTTACTTCATTTCATTAAATTGAATAAGTTTCTTTTCAATCAATTGTGTCAAAATTTCTCTTCAGTTGAATGTTATAATTATTACTATTATTCTTATTATTTTCTCATAGAACTCTTTATTTATTTATTTACTTTGTTTATTCATTATTCTTTCATCACTCTCATTATTCCTTTGTATCATTCATTTTATAAGCTACATTTCATGTTCTCATTTCGCTTTTATATTTTTATTGAATCGTTTTCTAGCTATTACAATTGGCTTTTTTCTAAGCTCTGTATTTAAAAGGTTTGTCGTTTCCATAAGCCACGTGTAGGTAATGGCTGTCGATTATTATGAAAATAGTTAAATGCATTATAATAATCGCAATTTGATCAATAATATGAAACAAGAATGATTCACTATTGGAGTGATTGTTTTTTCATGATTCTTCGTTCTTTGATTATTTTATTTTCCATTGAACAGTCTGCGTGAAGTTGTTCATTATATTGACAGTTCGCTTGTGATTTTCAAATAATTAACGAAAGTGTATTTTCCACAATCATGGAAAGGCAACAAACTTTCGAATACCATAAGCGATTCCGGAAATTCTTGTATAAATAAAATGAAAGAATGATACTATTTATATCATAACAAAATTTCAACAGAATGCAATTGAAAAAAATGTATTTATTCATAGTTGACTGAGTTTGAAATATCACATTTGAAGAAACCATGAAAAAACTAATTTCATGGTTTCGGGGAATTTCAGGGAAACAGATAAAAAATTTGAAATTTCTGAAAATTATTATAAAAAAATTAAATTAACGGAGGCAGTTACGGTAACCATCGATTCACTTCCACTTAAGGGCATCAATACCAACATTTCAAGCCATGATATAATTCATTCGAAGCCACGAATCCAAAGATGTCTGTCGAATTCTGATTTTCAAAAAAAAAATTGCAAATTTTCACAAAAATCACAGTAACGATTACTGCTATCGTCTTCATCTTCGAACTCGGTTGAAAGGGCATCTCAATAAATTTTTTAAGCCATTATTTAATGAATTTGAAACTTTTTTTTCTTAGTTATCGTAAAAAAAACGGTTTTTGAAAAAACTCGAAATTTTAAAAATGCGTTAATGAATTGAATTTCAATTGATGGCAGTAGATGGGGCTTAGTAAGACCTACATTTGAGGAAAAAAATGATTGAATTCCATTGCTGAACTGGCGAATAATTGAACAAAAACTTTGTTACATACGTACATACATACGTACACACGTATGGACGCGGTCTAAAAATTGCATTTTCGGACTTTTTGGATCATAATGGGTTGATATAACACAAAAAATAGAAAACTTAAATTTGGTCGCTTACAATGCTTCCATTCGGAAGCAAAAATCAGTAGAAGCAGGACCAACGTTCTTGGTGCGGAGTTTTTTCACTTACTGTTTATCAATCCAAACCTCCATCTTCTGATTAATACCAAGGATGCTGGTCTTGCTCCTTTTAATTTTTCATTTTACACAGATTTTTGTTTTCAATCCTTTTTGTATTGAGCACTGTTTTTCTTATAGAAATCTGATTACACATTATACCTATTCATTCGACATTTTTGACGTGACTTTCTTTTTCATTTACTGGGATAGACGTGCGCTTCGCGCGCTTGTTAGGTTGCATGGAATAATGTATTCATTTGATAATATTTATAGAATTACAACTCGATGTAATTTCCAATCATTTACTATTCCTATCTGTACTAACATATGGGCTTCTTTTATCTTAAGGCATATTTTGCGTAGTGAACTTTTTGAAATTCTTTATAAACTTCGCTTTACGCTATTAAGAAATACGATACGAGGGTGGATCAAGAAGTACCCGCGTTTGACGATATATGACGTTACGGGGGCAAGTCCGTAATACGATCATATACTCTCATCTGTGACACGACGTCACACAAAATTTCAGACTGATTGCTAGATTAGTTTTGTTTTGGAAGTCAGTGTTTTTGGAAACAATGGAAAAAGAACAATATCGATCTGTGATTCGCTTCTTATTTTTGGATGGAAAAACTTGCAAAAAAATCAAAACCAAGTTAGATGTTGTCTAGCGGGACTCTTCACCATGTATGACAATCGTCAGATATTGGTTCAACGAATTCAAACGTGGTCGTATCTGTTTTTCATGAGCAGCGCCCAAGCCGCCCGGCAGATTCGGTTACGGAAAAAATCGTTGAAAAAGTCGACACGACATTATTCTCGCTGATTGCTGTACGAAAGTGCGCGAAGTAGCCGAGGCCGTAGAGGTCCCGAATGAAACGGCAATTAATATTTTACACGATAAATTAGGGGTGAAAAAGTTGTCAGTTCGATGGGTGCAGCGCTTGCTCACGATAGAAAACAAGCGTATACGGATGTCAGTTTCAAAGCAGTATTTCGACCTCTTCAAGAGAAATCCGCGGGAGTTTTTTCGTCGAATCGTCGCCGCTGATGAAACCTGGATCCATTACTATATGCCCGAGACAAAACAACAGTCGAAACAATGGACTTTTCCAGAGGAATTTGCTCCGAAGCAGGCGAAAACGGCCCCATCGGCTAGAAAGGTCATGGCATCGATTTTTTGGGATGCGGAAGGGGTAAACCTCATTGAATTTTTGCAGAAAGGAAGCACGATCATGGGGCAATACTACTAATTTTGTGAGGGGCGCACATTTTTTCATAATACTCTTCAATATTAACTACTAGCAGTACCAGGACAGGACCAGTGATTTCTTTTAACCACTCCTTTTTATCTTCACCTTTCACATAAATTTTACCAATATTATCCGACATTTGTACAAATTGTTCAACTTCATCATATGGTATATTTCCATAGTTCCACGATAATCCGTGATGATGACACTCGAGCCACAAATTCACACCTCTATACTTTACTGGTAAACTGGATACTATATATCTAACTCCAGAATCTAAAACTGTGTATGCGAATTCTTTCACAATA